CCCCCCGCCCGGGTCACAGGCCGGGAAGCCGGAGCCTCCGGGAGCTGCAAAGTCCGTGCGCGGCCCGGCGCGTGGCCTCCGCCTCGTCTCCCCCGGGGCCCCGGGGCCCGCCACGGTGCAAGTGCGCGGAGCGAGCGGAGCGGCCGCGGGTGGGCGCCATGACTCCAGCGCCTCGTCGCCTTGGCCTTGAGGCTCCGGGGCCACCTCCCCGGGGAACTCCGCAGGGCCCCTCGGGGCTTCCCGAACTCTGGGGACACGGGGCTGCAGCCTCCGGCAGGGCCTTTGCGTTCAAGGACCGGAATCGCTCAGGTCCCCGCCGCGCTCTCCTGTCCTCACTGCCTGTCACCTGCTCGGCCGGTCCGCGCGCTCAATGCTCTTATCTCGTTTCTTCTAAACAGCCCAAGAGGGGGTGTCGTTAGCCCCGTTTTCTTGAACATTCGTTTGCGAGGAATTGTCTTTCTGGCGAGTTTTATTTCTCTCCTTGTGTGTCTGGCTTTGTCTCTAAATTGGTCTTTATTTTTAGCTGTACTAATTGCTATTTTTCTAAACCGTTTTCCAGGTCCCCCCCCCCCCCGTCTTTTGCAGTATTTTCACTAACTGGCACTTTTTTTCTATCTTCTATTCTGAGCTGCTCGTTGTGCCCACTTTTCCTCTCTCCCTCTCCCCGCCGCACAGTCCCAGTTCCACCGTCTCTGGCCTCCTGTGGCATCTTCTCATTTCTGTCCCTACTGTCTCTCTCTCTCAAAGGCATTTCCTCAGAGTCTCTCTGAGCACTCTCCACGCTCTGCTGCCGGGAGGGGACTCAGAGGCTCCTGAAGGTTACATTGGAAGACACCGCAGTGACCATGAACAGGGTTCAAACCCAGCCCGAGAAGCTTTAAAAACTTGTTGGCTTACTCCTCAGGGGACAAACTTCCACTCCGTTGTGATGAGATTAAGCTGTGAAATTTCAACTATAGGCAGGAGTTTAAATGCTGGCAGAGTTCTGGATCCAAATGGGGTCACAGAATTCTCCTAACAGCAACAAGGGAACTGGTGCACCGCACCTCCCCAGAATACTTCCCGGACACCCAATTACAAGTAACCCTAACACGGGAAGTAAGGACACTGGCACAAAAGGGGTGAAGGTTAGGCACAGCCAGCTAAATGTTATGCTAGTTGCCAGGGCTCACCCTACCATGTCCTGAATAAGCCTGGGGTGGCTTGGGTCCTGCTTATGAATGCCTTCTGAGCTAACAGCCCCAGGCCTTTCTTAAACAAAGGAAAATATAACAGCTTCAAATCACTTTTACTGTCCTGTTAGCATATCAGCTAGTAAGTACAAAACTAAAGACCCATGGTCAAAGTTTATACACACAGTTTAAATTTTTTGTTCTGGGACATTGAATGACTGTTCTTATGAAATTGCTATAAATACCTGTTTTAAGTGTCTGAAGATCCAAAAGCTGGTTTTCAATGTACACTGTGCAGAAGACCATGTATAAAAGCATAAAGGCTCATAGCTCCTAAAGCTTGCCAAACACATGCACACGCACACACACACACATGCACGTTTGAGTTCTGCCTGTGGTTTGCATTTGAATTAAAGGTACTCACCATCCAAATACCAGCACTACTTTAAGTCCAGCACCCACTTTCTGCAGCTCATCTCAAGCCTTCGCAAACAAACAACAGTAGCCAATTTGGGCAAGAAGAGAACAGGCAGTTTGGTCCCTTTTTCTGCCAGCTGGTCTCACATCTGGTTTAACAACCTTTAGATCAGGCAAGAAGCTAGAGCCCTGGATGTCTTCTAGTAAAGCAGAAATTCAGAGGGATCGTTGACTTTAGAATACAGTAGTTTTTATTCTGCTCAGTGGGAGGTAGGAGAAGGATATATACAATATTTATATATAGAAAGCTAGCAGTTAACTACACCAAAATATTATTAGAATTGATCTTTGCAAAATCTCTGCAGTGTGTATGCTTTTAAATCGGGGCTGGCGGGGGGGGGGGGCCAGTAATCAGAAACCGGTCGAAATCTCTACTGGTGCAAATATGTAAGCCTTCATTTCTACAAGATTAGTTTTGCTTTCTTAAAACTCTTAATTTCCCATGGAGGAGCAAGTAGATACTGACTGCCTTTTCCATCTTTGATCTCTTTTGCATTTCAAGTCACACTTTCCTGGCATATCACAGCTGGAGGGACCTTGGAGATCAGCACATGGTGCTGCAGATCAGGAAACTAAGGCTCAGATAGTACCTACACTTGCATTCACCTAGGACATGATGCCAGGTTTCCTGACTCCTGAGCAAGTGGTCTTCCTGGACAGCACTCTCTCCCTTGTGCCATGCTGCATGCATGAGGGTGCACCTAGAAAGGAAGACCTTTATGTAAGTTTAAGATTCTAATTAGGACTTTCACTTCCACAGGGAAGATTAATGGTATCAGCTTGCAGTCATGCTTGTATTTCTCCAACCTCAAAACAAAATCGGCCATTAAAAAAAAAAAAAAGACAGTTACTCACTGGTTAGAGCGTGATGTGGTGTTGATAACACCAAGGTCCAGGGTTCAATCCCTGTAATGCCCGCTGCCAAAAACAGGACAAAAAAACACCACCACAAAACAAACAGAAAAAAATACAATGTATCCTGCCATTTGTGACAACGTGGGTGAACCTGGAGGACATTATCCTAAGTGAAATAAGTCAAATACGTATGATTCCACTTACACGTGGTACGTAAAATAGTCAAATTCATAGAAACAAAGTACAACACTGGTTGCCAGGGGCTGGGGGTTGGGGAAGTGGGGAGATGCTGATCAAGGTATGCAAACTTTCGGTTATAAGATGAACAAGCTCTGGGGACCTATGTACAGCATGGGTGGTGATGGATGTGTTCATTAGTTTGTGTTAATCATCAGACAATGTATGCATACATCAAATCATCACGTTGTACACCTTAAATACATACGATTTTGTCAATCAAATATTTTAAATGAAATAAATAATAAAAATAAATTTAAAAACAAAACTCCTCTATTGCCCATTTCACTTTCCAGCGAAGGGCCTCAAATGAGTCACCCCTGCTCGCTGTCTCCTGTCCCTCTTGCCCCCTCTCCTACACCTTCTCCGGTCTGACCGCCTTCTCCACCGCCCACCGCCTGTGAAACTGCACTTGGGAGACTTCTGCCTTGGGAGACCTGTCAGTTCTCAGCCCCTGTCTTCCTTAACCCATTACCACCATTTGACGCTGTGGATGGCTCCCTCCCACTTGACCCGCGTTCTTCTTTTGGCTTCCAGAACAGCACACCCTCCTGGTTTTCCTGCTGCCATGCGTGCTGTTCCCACCACCTACCCTCCTCGTGGGGTGCACCGCCGCCTTAGTCTTTGGGCTCCCCTCTTTTCTTGCACACTTACTCCTTTGATGACTTCATCAAGTCTCCCCACTTTAAATGCCCCTTAAACAACTAGACTTTAACTTTTAGAAAAGGTTTAGGTTCACAAAAAATTGGACAGAAAGTGTAGTTCCCACATACCTCCCCCGCTTGGCACGGCCTCCCCCATGATGGACCTCCCCAACCAGAGCGGGACATTTGTTACTACTGATGAACCTACTCTGATACACCATTATCACCCGGAGTTCATATCAAATACCCTCTTATGCCCCAGGACTCCCACATTTATCTCTTCAACCTGGACTGCCTGAAGGATATCCCTTCTTTGCTGCCTAATAGGACATCTAAACGGAAATGTGTCCAAAACAGAACTCTTCCTGCCCATGCCTGCCGCGTCTCAGTTAAAGGCAATTCCGCCCTTCCAGCTTCTCAGACCAATTATTTTGGAATCATTTCTCACAGCTCACATCTAGTCCATCCAGTAATCCTTCCAAATAAACCCAGAATCCCACACTTCTCACCATCTCCATCTCCACTATGATCATCCTCGTCTCAGCCACTGTCCCCTGCTGGATCACTTCAGTAGCCTCCTAGCAAGTCTCCCTGCTTTCACCTGCTGTACCCTATCCTAAACCCAGCAACCGGAGGGATCCTTTCAGCCCCAGGGAAGCCTCACCATGTCAACCCTCTGGTGGAAACTCTGTAGTGGCTCCCCGTGCTGCCCAGAGAAGCTAAGACCACATAAAGATCTGCAAGGCAACATGGTTGGGCCTCGGCTCCCCTCCAACCTCCTTTCCTAGCCCTCCCCCTCACTCATGTTCTGCTGCCACAGGACCCCCCTCCTTATCCCTCAAATGCCTCCACATGCTCCCACGTCGGGACCCGTGCACTGTGCCTCCTGTCTGGACCCCTCTTCACTGGTATGCACATGGCACGCTCCCCCAGTTTCTTCAGGTCTTTATTGAAATGTTGCCTTCTCAGTGAGGCCCCCCATCCCTCCTGTTTAAAATAGCAACTCCTACCCCACACTGTCACACCTCTTTCTTCTCCGTGCCTGTCATGCTTCTCGTAGCATGTGTGCCCTTCCGACATACTATAATCGACTTATGACGTCCGCTGTCTGCCTCCCCCCACACTCCCCTCCATCATATGCTCCCTCGAATGTGGAATCGGTGGAGGATTTTTCACTGTTTTGCTCACTGCTGTCCCACACAGTAAACACTCCACAAAAATGT